TAGAAGGATCCAGTCAGCAAAGATGAGAAGAATCAGTTTCCAGGTAACAGTGACTGGAGCTTTGATCTAGATATCCACAGTAGAGACAGGGCAAATAGTGGCCAGAATTATAGTTTGAGTGTTAGTGTGGCATAATGTATAGACCTAAAGCCAGGAAGATGTGAGTTCAAAATCCCCCTTGAGACATTTGCTAGCCACATAACTCTATGTCAGCTAATCTTTCTAAGCTTCAGCTTCCTCATCTGTAAATTGAGGATAATAACAGCACCTGCCTCACGGGGCTGCTAAGAGCATCTACTGAAAAAGTATGTTTGTAAAGCACTTTGCAAACCTCAAAGTGTTCTATAAGTGTGAGCCACTGCTCACACTTAAATAGTTCTTACAATTGATAATTTAGTTTCTTCTCCAGTAATTGTGTATCATCTGGGAAAGGGTAGTATGTACTAGATTTACTTACCTGTGAACATGGTGTATCCTCATATATATAAGGTCCTCAAGGAGGGGAGGGACTTTCTCACTTTTATATTTATATCTTCAGGGCCTACCACAGTGTGTGGCACATTGTACATGCGTTGTGACTACTTGTTGTAAAAAAAAAAGAAAAAACAATAACTTTGAATTGTTTTTATAATATCCAAGCTTGAACATGAAGAAGAGATGTGAGAACGTACCTCTTCTCTTGTTAGGGGACTCTGTGGGTGGAGCACCACCGATGATGTCACACTGCCTGGGTTATGAAGAAGCAGAGGATTATTTGGTTTGACAGTTGCATAGTTCGGCTCAATGGTTTTTTCCCCATTGAGAGGAAATGAAGGAGATATAAAAAGAGAAGAGGATAAAGTTAAAAATAAAAATGCTCATTAGTCCCTTGGTTGCTTCCAGAGATCAGGCCTTATAGCCACCCTCTGAGGCAAATGGTTCAAGTAACACCATTTTTAGTACAGAAAACCTGAGGCTCAGGTGATACCATTCATCCATTCACAAGGCTCTTAAAATGATAGACACACCAGGGCAAACACAGTTCCCCCTAAAATAGTAATTGAGGTAATGGCTTCTTGACCAGCAAGATTAGTCTCTATTTACTTTACATTTTTATGGAGATGTTTCCAAAAGATGAATGTCAACTGAGGGATTAAACTATGGGAAATGGATGTTTTTCCCTTAGACAAAGCATTTCTCTTCTTAGGTCCTCTTCCGTAAGATGAAAAGTGGACTAAGTGACCCTTAGAGTCCTTGCCAGTTTAAACTATGGTTATCCCAGAATAATGCTAGAATAAAAGTGGCCTCTATAACCCCAAACTCTTTTATCTGGCTTTGGAACACATTGACCTGTTGTTGTTTTCTGGAAGTCATTCATAATGATGTTCTCCCTTTTTAAAAAGTAGTTCTTGAGACTTGGGTTCCATCTGTGTTCCCATCAACTAAGAGAAGGCCTGAGAATCTGGCTCTGCCACTCACTAGGTTATGTGAAACTCAGGCAAGCCACATCTATCCCCTTCTACGGGCCTGTCTCATATTACTTGTACTACTTGCTTCACTGGCAGCTAGGTGGCGCAGTGGATATAGCACTGGGCCTGGAGTCAGGAAGGTGTGAGTGAGCTCAAATCCTGCCTGAGACATTTACTAGCTGTGTGACTCTGGGCAAGTTAATTAACCTTGTGTTCCTCAGTTTCTTCATCTGTAAAATGAGCTGGAGAAAGAAATGCACAACTGTTCCATTTTCTTTGCCAAGAAAACTCCAAATGGGGTCGAGGGCAGGAAAGAGTCGACAAGACTGAAGTGACTAAACAATATCTTGCTTGACAGTGTGATTGGGAGACAGCTAGGCGGCGCAGTGGATAGAGCACCTGCCCTGAAGTCAGGAGGACCTGAGTTCAAATCCGACCTTAGACCAAACACTTGACACTTACTAGCTGTGTCACCCTGGGCAAGTCACTTAACCCCAATTGCCTAAAAACAAAAACAAACAAACACAGTGTGATTGGGAGGCCAAGTGCTCTGTGAACTTTAAGAGATGAAATGGAAAGTTGAGATACTGCAATCTCATCTACTTTATGTACGTGTCCCAGAAGTGAGCTGAGCAATGGGAGAATCTAGCAGGGGGACTAATAATTTCTTGAAAATATTTAACAAAAAAAATTGTTTGCCCTCTCAATGGGCAGAGGAGAGGCTGGAGGAAGAGAATTTGGAACTCAAGAGAATTTTTAAAAAATTAATGTTTGAAAAAAAAGAAAGCACATAAAATAACGTGGCTTAGAACTGACTGGTCTTTATTTGAATACATACGTATAGGATTAATAGATTTTGAACTGGAAAAGACTTACAAGGCTCTTACATAATGACATCCCTCTCACTTTCCTGAGGAAACCAAGCCTCAAGGAACTAGGGTGATCTTGCTCCAGATTGCACAGGTCTGAGTCAGGGCTTGAACCCATCTGGGTCTTCCCAATGCTAGGGCCAGTGCCCTAACCATTATGCAACACTACCTATGCTTACATATCCACTTACAAGTTCTTGAAACTTAAAATAAGAGGGAGTTTGACTCATAGGATGATTTAGGGGCATTTTTCTTTGCTTTAGGAAGTAAGGAATCTCCTATAAAATCATCAGTTATTATTGCTCCTTAACCATAGGTATGCATGGCTAATATGGAAATATATTTTGCATGAAAAAAACGGAATTGAGAGTTTTGTTTCCTCTTTCTGATAGTTTTAATTTTTACTTGCATCACTAATGTGAAAATGTTTAATACGAATGTAAATGTATAGTCTATATGAGATTGTGCACCATCTTGGGGACGGTGGTGGGGAGGAAGGAGGAAGAAAAATTTTAAACTCAAAAACACATGGAAGTGATTATTGATAAATCAAAATAAATAAAAAAATGGAACTGAAAAATGTTTAACAAAATATCAACACAATACACCTTTTTAAAAAAACACCCACCAATGATTGCAAATACTGCTCAGCTAACACAGAAATTGTTTGCAAAGCAGGGTACAGATAATATCCTGCTTTAGCCAAAACAAACAAAAAAAAAACCCCACCAAAACTATAAGCATGCATGCAGGAAGCAGGGAAGAATAGGGACAGCAGAAGAAATATTTTCTAAGTTTCACATTGTTGGATAAAGTGAGAATAGCCAAATTCCAAGCCACAATTTGATACCACCTTTTATCTACATTTGCTGTCTTCTTGCAAAGAACTCAGCCCTGCCTGGTCCCACATCTAGGTTTGGGCCCTGAGGCAAAGAGGAAGTGGCCATGTCTGGTCCTTCAGAAGGAAGTTTCTCTCTTCCTTAAAAGAGATGGAGGTTGAGAAGGTGAGAGAGAGGAGGGTGGGCCAAGAATGTGGCATACCACAGGGTCATCTGTAGTTAGCTTGTCATTTGGTTTTGCTGTTATTTTTATAAGGGATGGCTTATTTGGAGGGTGATACAGCAAATGATGGCTCCAGAATCAGAACTCCTTAGCTTCTGATGCTCTGTACTTTGTGAACTTGGGGCAAGTCCTTGACCTCCCTGTTCAACTGTAAAATGAGGTTTGGACTAAAATAGATGGCCTGCAGTCTCTTCTGGCCTACAACCTCTATAATCTTTTGTGAACATTGATAAATGTGAATTTTAAAAATCAATCTCATTTCATAACAAGTCAGCCCACCAGGGTGACTGATTTACTGCCCTAAAGCCAAGTCAATAAGAAAAAAACACAAGTTTAGAGCTGTGAAGGACCAAGGAAATCCCAGTGCCCTTATAGAATAAAGCCAGGGAGACAAAGCAATTTGTCTGGGTGCTTATTGATTTTCATTACAAAAATCTTCTTTCTTCCTCCTTCAAGATAAACAAGAGCTGATGCAGAGCTCCAAAATCCATCCTCAAAAAGTACAGTGCATGGCATACGGGATGGGACACTGGACTTGGAATTGAGACTCAAATTCAAATCTTACCTTGGGATCTCACTACCTATGGAAGCCTAAGTTACTTAAGCCTGTAAGATCCCTTCCAGGTGTATGATCATTACCTTCCCATCCTGTCCTTCCCCAAATGGATGTCCGTGGCACATAGCTCTCAAGGTGGTAGTTAACCAACCCTTACAGATTCATCAGAACAAATGTCCACAACCTGGTACTTCCTAAAAATTCTCTCATGCTTGGATTTATGTTAAGATGACATTCTTAGAGGGCTAGTGAAAACCTGGCTGCCCCCTCCCCACAGGTAGGTGGGTACCAATCGCCTACCCAAACTCCCTTCCCTTCCCCATTCAATGACTCAAAAGGTGTCATAGTAATTAGACAGCTCACAAGCACTTTGAAAGGATTTCATCTTTTTGCTTCTAATTATTCTTTATCACTAATGCTTAGTAAGGCAAGCTCTTGCCTTAGCTCATTAATCATTACCAATTTAAATGTAATGTCAAACTTAAGAGGACCAATATTACCGATGATTATGGTTACCAGTGGCAAAAGGGGAGTGGTACGGGCACAGCTTGAGATGCTGTCAGTAAGACACGGTTCAAACCCTTGCTATATTACTTGTACTTTATTTTTTTTCCTATAAAAAAGAAAAGGACAGTAGGAAGGGGGTGGGGTGGACTGAGACAGGTCTCAGGTTCCTTGAAAGATCCAATGCTTTCTGCTTAAGCTATTGAAGACTATTTTCCTCAGCCCTTTCAGCGGGGAGCAAGCTTGTGAAGATTTAGAAGGAAAAATAGACCAGGCATCTGATGGCTTGACTGATAATTGCTGACCATTTTCTACTCAAGGCTGCCTAGATGGCTCCTGAATCTTTACTACCTAACCCCATTAAGTGTTCTACCACCAGGTACATTTGGGGTAGATTAAAAAAAAAAAACACCTTAGAAAATTTTAGAAAAAAATTGGGTAAACTATGAGCCAAAATTTTCCCATTCAACTGAAAAAGCAAGCTGGTTTGGCTTATCTAGCCAAAACTGAAATTACAAATGAGAAAGACATGCAAAGCACATTAACACAACTGGCCAAAAGTTTCTTTAACGTGTGCACTTTTATTTGAACTGGTCTTAAGTCAGTGTACAGGTAAAGCTCCTCCCCTCCCCCAAGTACTGGCACCAATCTCGTAAAACTCCCAGGGAGACTGTAAAGTCTTCATTCACATCTATGTTGGGGGCAGGGAGGGAATTTAGGGGGCCATCCATTATGGCTGACAATTAAAAAAAAAAAGGAACAAGTATTAAGGCGGAAGATACAAAAAGTTTTTTTTTAAAGGATTACATAATTTACAAGTAAAGCAATACTAGTACCTTCCCTCCCTCCCCCCTTCCCATCTGGATTTTTGTTACCTAGCTCCTTTGCTCTAGCAGAGGACAGCCTTCATAGAGGCTTGTAACTCTGTAACAATGCATCACACAATATTTGGAATGATTATTTAAAAAAAAAAAATAACAAATGTACAATCAGAGTCCTGAAGACGCACTGTAGAACTTTGGGGATGTTTGCCTCCAACATACTTAGACTGCTCATCACCTTCACCGTTCCAGTTTTTAAATCCTGAGTCAAGCGCCAAAAAAAAAAAAAAAAAACCAAAAACAAATAAAGCCATGCCAATCTCATCTTTTTTTTCGGGCAATTATCATGTCACACCCTTTGACAAAAAAAAAACAAAATTTTAAAAAAAAAAACAAAACACAAACAAACAGTCCATTTAGAAGCATTTGCGGTGGACAATGGAAGGCCCAGATTCATCATACTCCTGCTTGCTGATCCACATCTGCTGGAAGGTGGAAAGAGACGCCAGGATGGAGCCTCCAATCCAGACAGAGTATTTACGCTCAGGTGGGGCAATGATCTACAGAGGGAAAAGAGAGGGGTAGGGGCACCAAGTTAGCTCCAGAACAGGTATCAAGTCTAACAAGCCAATTAAAACCCCCCCTAGGGACAATGCCAGGAATATGGTAGGGGGAGGCAGACAAGGAATGAGTCTGGCAACCCTAACAAAATAATCCTTTAAACACATATATTAAAGCATTTATTAAATACCAGGCACTATCCTAGAGCAGTATCTAACAAGCTCACCTTGATTTTCATTGTGCTGGGAGCTAGGGCTGTAATCTCCTTCTGCATCCTGTCAGCAATGCCTGGGTACATGGTGGTACCACCAGACAATACGGTATTGGCATACAAATCCTTACGGATGTCAACATCACACTTCATGATTGAGTTGAAGGTAGTTTCATGGATTCCACAGGATTCCATACCTACGTAGAGAAGGAAAAGGAGAGGAGGGAGGAAGAAGCAAATTACCTTTAGTCTTAAAAAACTATTTCCTGTGACCCATTATTCCTGAAGTAGACGGTAGCTGTTTAAAAAGAGAAAACCCTTACCTAAGAAAGATGGCTGGAAGAGAGCTTCTGGGCATCGGAACCTCTCGTTGCCAATGGTGATAACCTGACCATCGGGAAGCTCATAGCTCTTTTCCAGAGAGGAGCTAGATGCAGCAGTGGCCATCTCCTGCTCAAAGTCTAGGGCGACATAACACAGCTTCTCCTTGATGTCACGCACGATTTCCCTCTCAGCCGTGGTAGTGAAACTGTACCCTCTCTCGGTCAGGATCTTCATGAGGTAGTCCGTCAGATCACGGCCAGCCAGATCCAGACGGAGGATGGCGTGGGGAAGGGCATAACCTTCATAGATGGGCACAGTGTGGGTCACACCATCACCAGAGTCCATCACAATACCAGTGGTACGACCAGAGGCATACAGGGACAGCACAGCCTGGATGGCAACGTACATGGCTGGGGTGTTGAAGGTCTCAAACATAATCTGGAAATAAAGAATCAGGCAGGTAAGTGAGTGGATTAATCTCTCCCTAATTTATCAAACAAGGCTATGAAAATCATGCAGGCGTGTAACACATTTGTAGTTTTATAAGTACCCTGCAGTTAAAAAAAATTTTAAAACTTAAACTGTTGTTCTAAGACCCACACATTGTTATCTTACATAGATATTACCAGCTTATGACAAGATAGTTGGAAGTTTAGATTTTTAGAAGTCACCCCCAGACAAGTGAACGGTTAGTACCTACAAACAATTCAAATTACTAGTGAAAATTAAAAAAAAAAAAGCCAGATCAGAAAAAGCAAACAGAACCTGTAGATATCCAAAGAGAAGACTCAGTTCAGAGAAGGAAAACCCTATGGATAATGGCAAAGAAAAAAAAAAAGGGAAGAGAAAAGAAAAGTGAAGCAGAATATAAAAGAATAAATGGATGAAGCTGCAAAACGCTCAAGAACTTTGGTAACCTACGAAGTTCACAGACCTGAGTCATCTTTTCTCTGTTGGCTTTGGGGTTCAGGGGGGCTTCTGTAAGCAGCACAGGGTGCTCTTCAGGGGCCACACGGAGCTCATTGTAGAAAGTATGATGCCAGATCTTCTCCATGTCATCCCAGTTGGTGACAATACCATGTTCAATGGGGTACTTCAGGGTCAGAATACCTCTCTTGCTCTGGGCCTCATCCCCCACGTAGCTGTCTTTCTGGCCCATACCCACCATCACACCCTGCAGAGGAAGGAATGAAAATGGTCAGTCTTACCTTACCAGAAACCTTTATAATTCAGATTTGTGGGGTTCTAGATTTTTTGAGCTGGAACTTGTCAGAAGTTCACACCTCTCATTTTACAGATAAAATCAGAACTAAAAATCTCAGGTTAAAAATGATTTGCCCAAATCCATACAGCCACTGGGGATGCTCTTAAGAGAGTTGCAGTTTTTAAATAAAAAGTGGTTCTATATGCAAACAAAAAATGCCTTATTCCACATTAATTCTCAAAGTTCCCAGTTATATAGCCACATTTAAGTTTTGTTTCAAATTGGGATCAGGTTAATGCCACCTGACCTGTCGATTTCTCTATGCCCATGTGTTTTATTTAATGTTATCACAGCCCCTTTTCACAAATATTCTAGGCTCCTTAGAAAGAAAATCCCTCCGGTATTATTTGCTATTAGCCAACCCCTTCCAATATTCACCACTATCATTCCAATCAGGCAGCAAGCTGGTTTAACATGCTTGGCAAATATCTTCCAAAATACCATGTTATGTATACCTGATGTCTGGGGCGCCCCACAATGGAAGGGAAGACAGCCCTAGGGGCATCGTCTCCTGCAAAGCCAGCTTTGCACATTCCAGAACCATTGTCAACAACGAGAGCAGCAATATCATCATCCATGGCGAACTGGTGAGAAAAGAGAGGAAGGGTTGGTTTTAAGATTTTAATCCAAGTTCAATTCAAATACTGCTTGGTCTTTTTAAAATTAAAAAAAAAGGCATGCCACATTTACAGGGTAGCAGCCAAGAAGGTAAGGTACCACCAGGCTTAGTGCAGGCTCCTTCATATCCCATCCTTAGTGATGCTAAAGTTGAGGCATATGGTGATGACCAAGCAGACTGGAGGGACCACTCCCCACCCTGTTTCCTTCTCAGCTTCCTGTCAATAATTGAATGCACCTCTCCCCTTTGGCCGCTAGAGGGAGTGACCGCTTGCATTTTTCGCCTTAAGAGATTTGGGACAAAGGAAGTCCCAGCTCTCTTGCCTCTCATTATTACCATAAAAGGCAATGGTAAGAGAGGCAGCTTTGCAGAAGTCAGTGGCGCGGCAGGAAGCCAGGTTTCTCCTCCCCCCACCCTTCTTTTAAAGGGAGACTTGATTAAAAAGGAGAAGCCACTCCCCCCTTGCTCCCTCCTCCCCCGGGCCTTTTTCAAAATGAGGCATGGTGTGTGGCCACACCCAGATCAGTCTCCACTCCCTACCCCACCCACCCCCGCCAGACGTTAGCAGCAGGGATGGGTCTAGAGCCACGCTTATGCAAGCCGCTCCTGGAGACCAGGGCGCTCCTGGCGCTTTGCAGGAGCAGCAGTTCAAAAGGGGAAGTTGCTCACACCCCCCCATCCCCCTGAGATTTAGAGAAGGAACTCTTCCTGGGTAGGTCCCCACCCAGTTCTGGGAAATCAAGCCCCAGGAGAAGTGGGGACTCATTCAAAGCCAATTAAGGCTTGCTTAAGCCAAATCTCTCCAATTATTAGGCCGTGGTGTTGTAAAAACCCCTTTCCCCCTCACCCCTTAATGGATTAAAGGTTCTTTTGGAAAAAAGAAATACTAATTACCTGCCTCATAGCATCAGATAAATTTAAAAATCGAGAAACTGTTTAAAATGACACTCCCCCCCCCAAAAAAATTCCCTTTTAGGGAATGGATGCAATAACAGCAGCTTGGTGCTTGGTTTGCAAAAGGTAACGATTTTCGCTTCTCTGCAAACCCGCACTAGCATGGTGGGTCGGCTGCAAAACACCTTAGTACCCCGACTTCCTCCCCTATCCGCCCTTCGTGGACAGTAGGCACTCCCACTCCCAGGGAGCCAGGCGCTAGCAGGACTGTCCCCACCCCGCTACACTTTGTAGCTTCCGCCCTATAACCTGTTAATCCACCCCACGCCCTTCCCGGGCCCGGCCTCTACAGGGCCCAGACTGAGACAAAGACCCTTAATTCATTCCCCCGCCTTTGAATGAAAAGTGGAGGGAGGAACCGGAACCTCCTCTTCCCCCCCCCATAAGGCACGATGCCCACCGCCTTCCGTGCCTCCTGCAAAGCATGCGCTGCTACAATAAATGAGGCGGAAGCCCCGAGCTCAGGTCACACCCTGCAAAGCTCACTCCCGCCGCCTCGGCGGTTAACGCTCTCTCCCATCCCCCCTCCTCGCCTGGGTTCGTTTTCCCGCCGCCCCCGCCCTTTACAACTTCTTCCAACCCCACCCGCGCCTAGAGGCGCCCTCGCTCAGCCGGTTGGATGGGGTTCAAGCCCCAACCTTAGTCTATCCTACGCCAACCGGATTAAGCCTTCCCCATTATTGAGGAATAATCATCCTGGGCCCGCCAGACCCCATGACTGCAAACGCTCAGCTCAAATCCTCTTAACCAGGGCTGAAGGGAGAACAACCCGATTAGGAGAGCCCCGGAGCAGGCGGCATTTACTATGCAAGGCCCGCCGAGAGAAGCTCTTCATCACCCAAACCCAGCTTCCCGAAACGCTAGAGCCATTTGCCCAAATGCACACCCACACGCCTATGCCCATGACCATGGGGCGATGACTGAGCAACCAAGTGACTGCCTGAATGAGAATAAAGGACTAGGAATAGCTACCACGGGGCTCTGAGCCCCTAGAATACGGCTAGTCTTTGCAAGTTTCTCCTCTCCCCCCCCCAAGAAAATGCATTTCCCTAAAGAAATCTTGCAGGCAGAAATAAATGCCTGCCACTCCATTCCACCTCTGAAAGGTTTTGGAGAAGGAAGGTAAAAAAGAAATGCGTGTCCAAAAGAAATTAAGGGTGAGGAGAGGACGAGAGGGAAGGTTCTCGTAGGCTCTTACCTTTGAAGTGGCAAGTTTAAACCCTTAAGAGAGAGGAGGTGGTGCCGCACCTGGAGGCAGGGGGGAGGCAAGTGCACGCTGGGTGGAAGAGCTCACAGCTACTCCGGCGCGCTCGCGCTCTGGGTTTTATGGGGCGCGCGAGCTCCACCGCTCGAGCCATAAAAGGTAACTTTCGGAACGGCGCGCTCTGATTGGCCCGGGGTCGCTCACTCACGAGCCTCTTTGCACATTGCAGCATTTTTTTTCTTCTCTCCTCCTTTTGCAAAAAAAAAAAGGGGAGAGAAAGAGGGAGGGAGAGTTTTTTCAGCTTTTGCTCTCTATGGGCGCTCCTTTGGCTTCAACCCTTTTTTGCTTGGTCTGAAGCTCTGAATATCAGTGCCATAGCAATGCAGGGCTGATTCATAACAAAACATGGATGGAAGGAGAGCTTGCTTTAGAGCATGTCTGTGTGTGTGTGTGAGTGTATGTGCTTTCTTCCAGCCCTGTTTGGAGGTAGAAAGAAAAATGACCTGATATTAAATTCAAACCCCCTTCACTTCATCAGGCTATTGTTGAGCCCTTGTTCTGGGCAGGGGAGGGGAGATGTAGGCATGCTTTCTTTTTTTATTTAATTTGTGCATCCTAGGATGAACCCTGAGAGTTTTCTATAGAGATGCTCCGACCCACCCCAGCCGGTGCCAGGAAATGCAAAAATCCCAAAGAGGACTCCCCTCTCCAGCTCCCACCAACAATAGTGCCTATGAGTCATTCTTCCAACTTGGAATTCTTCTACCCGAGGTCGGTTTGTAATCACACCCTGAACACTGCTGTTTGCATATGCTGTTGCTTGGTTTCCCAAGCCGGACCCGGTGCTGGGAGAGAAACCTGGAGATTTCCAAAAGCTCTGTCTCCCCTGTGCCAAAATCTTATCGTTCGCAAGCTTGGAGATCAGACTGATCTTTGCCGCCGGCCCCTTACATTCATTCACTTCTTCACCGCTCTACCCTGTCCCCTCAATTCTGATTCTCCCGAAAAGTGCATGTTTTCCTGTCTCCTAGGATAACTGGACATAACGTCGATTTTCTTTTTATATGGAGGGTGGGGGGCGCCAAGCTGTGAATTTCGGGTGATTTAACGTAAAGGTATGTATATGCCCAAGTGCAGTTTGAGGAGGGGCTAAAGTTGCTAGGTACAAAGGAGCGGGTCTAAGACTTGAGAAATAGAGCCGTATTTCTTTAAAAGAAAATATTTGGTTTCAAAAAGGTGGTTATAATTGTGTATGTGGTGTATATGGGTGTGTGTCGACACATCTACAATCCCCCATTCATTTATGGACCACGAGATAACAGTGGTGAGGACAAAGGTAACGTCAGGAAAGCAGTCAGAATCCAGGGCAGACAGAAGAGCAGGTTGTTTGGCCTTATAAGGGTGTTAAGCTGCTATTGCAAGGTAAAAACTGCTTTTTGGTAAACACAGGGCAAAGTTCTCTTGCCTCTAGGGGCCCAGTAAATAACATTTACACAAGAAGTAGCAGCTACCGTCTCCCAGAAAGCTGAGGCAGGTTTGGCTGACCCAAACTTAATTCATTTTATTTTTCTCAACTTGGACTCTGTTATTAGGCACTTGGATTTCTCATTGGGCTGGGGGTGGGGAAGGCTGGACCCACACACCTACAGACACCTGAAGCTGGGCCTTAGCCATAGCCTGTCCCCTCCCCCTTCCTCTTCCTTTTCCCCTTCAGGCTCTCAGAGTGACTGGGAGAGAGGCTGGCCTCCCTAAGACTTGATTTTTCTTTCTTTTTCTGCCCTCTCTACCCTGCAAAGTTAGACTGCACCCCTTTCTGGACCCTGGATGGCCTGTCCGGAAATCACAAAATCCCAAGGCCAAAGAAGACAGTGGGAGAGGGGCATTTTCACTGCCTCCCCCAAATTGTGCTCGGGTTAACTTTAAGAGAAAAGCATAAAACTAATCCCTCCCACCACCTTTCAGTATTTGCTCTGCTGGAGCTGGGAACATTTGCAATGGAACTGGACTGACTTGGAGTCCACAAACCCCAGGGAATTCTTTTCCAAAAGGAAAGAAAGTGAGGTGACCCAGAGAGGGACCAAATCACAGCCAAAATCTTCCTTCCTCAGGGTCATTAATCTCTGACCTGGGACCAACTCTGCCAGGCTGTGCTCCTGGGATCTCAGTGCAGGGTTTGATTCCACAAAGAGAGAGCTGGAAGGATTCTAGCTCAGTTTGATCCGCCCACAATATCTATGCGGCTTAGTAAGCCATCTGGAAGGTAATAAACTTCTTGGGGAAACTCAATGTGCCAGAGAGAAGACTGGGGGGAGATGTTGTAGGAGAGACTTAGGGACATGGAGACCAACTGTCCCCTGAAAGAGCTCCCTCTTCTTTCACAGAATCAAATGCATCATAGATTTAGAGCTTGGAAGGGACCTTGAGAGCCCATCGAGGCCAAGCCCCTCTTTTTACAGATGAGAAGACTGAAGCACAGAGAGGTATTAAGTGTCTGAGATTGGAGCCCATATCTTCCTCACTCTAAATCCAGAAACCACTAGGGGTGGGGGAGGGAAACTCTGTGTATGTTTGCACATATATGTGTATGTGTATATATATGTATATCTCTATGTGTATATATACTTGTATGTAAACATAAGCCTACATATACCACTATATAAGTGTATATGTGTATGTATACATCTGTACATATATGTATAGGTGTATACACACACACACACACACACACATTCCCCCCTGTAGTCAGAAAGACCCGAGTTCAAATCTGGCCTCAGACACTTACTAGATTGTGTGACTCTGGGTAAGTGACTTCTCCCTGTTTGCCTCAGTTTCCTCATCTGTAAAATGAGCTGGAAAAAGAAATGGCAAACCACTCCAGGATCTTTAGATTGACATCTCCTTGAGAGGAGGGACTATTTGTTTCATTCTTTGTCTTTGTATTCCCAGTTAGTGCCTCACCTGCACATAACTTGGCACAAAGGTGGAGCTTAGTAAATATTTGTAGACGGAAATGATTTCAAGTTAGTGATTCAAACAATCCAAAGCTGTTCCCCAGTGCTTAGAACTCTTCCTCTCTCCTCCTGGCCATTTAATTTCTATCCGTTCTTTAAAGCCCAACTCAAATGTCTTTGCTTCCATGAAGCCTTCCCTGATCCCATTCCTACTCACCCCTTTGGCGATTCCCTTCTCAAACTTTGCTTAGTACCTTGCTTGTATCTCTCATTTCCATCCTGGTGTAGAATAAAGAATAGTGGTTTTTGGAAGACAGGAGTTATGAACGCCTCTGAACCTCAGCATACCCATTGATGAAATGGAGATAAAAATATTTGTCACCTAATTCAGAGTTGTAAGGAAAATGTTTTGTAAACTGTGACACAGCGCCCAAATTCAAATCCACCCCAAGACATCTCCTAGTTGTGTGACCTTGGACAAGTCATTTAACCTCTGTTTCAGTTTCCTCATCTGTAAAATGGAGATATTAAATAATAGCATCTAGATCCCAAGGTTGTCTTGAGGATAAAAGGAGATAATATTTATAAAGTGCTTTATAAATGCTAGTTATTACTATTTGTATTAGAGATATACATCCTACTGGTGTGTAAGCTCCCTGAGGACAGAAAGGGACTGCTGGCATGGCTCTTTTTTCCAGAGCTCCTTATCCCCCTCAGAGCTATTGAAGGTCCCAGCACACAGCAGGTGCTTAATAAATGTTTGTTCAATTGAGTTGAGCTCCTAGTATTTCAGAGCTGCAGCTAATTCATCTTCAGAATATCTCTAGGCTCTTGGATTTGAATCCCAACTGGGGCACCAGCTCTGTGTGTGTGTGTGTGTGTGTGTGTGTGTGTGTGTGTGTGTGTGTGTTACCATGGGGCAAGTCCTGTAAACTTTCAAAGCCTCTGTCTCAGCCTCTTCAAATGAGGATAAGAATCTCCCTAGTGCCAATCTCAGCTGGTCTTTTTGAGGCTCAAATGAGCTATTACATGTAAAGGACTTTGCATATTTTAAAACACTATATAAATGCTAGTTATTATTAAAAAATCTGTCAAACACAAGCTTTTTATCACTCAGAATTATCATTCCACTTCTCTCACCTCCCCAATACAAATGTTCTGCTTCTCACTGCCCTCTCAGGCAGCCCCTAAAGACAACCTCTCTAGGCCCCAAGCCTATTAGTTCTTGGCCTGACTGGGACAGAAAGAGAAAAGAAATCTGATCTCAGCCCCAGAAATCTAAGGCAGAGCAAATTAATACCACCTCCTCCTGATCTATCATGGTGGGGGACCCCAGAAGGCCAGGTAGTGCCTTAAGGAGGTAAGTCTCTTCTGAACCCCTCAGACAAACTGGTGGGAATATCTTCTCGTTTATTTCTATTATGTTACCCTTATGTTACTTCTTTTCTCCTTCAGGGCTGGTCTTTGATATTTTTAAATTTGTTGTCCTTCAGTAGTTCTTATCATGTCTGACTTATCATGACCCCATTTGGGGTTTTCTTGGCAGAGATACTAGAGTGGTTTGCCATTTCCTTCTTCAGCTTATTTCACAGATGAGGAAACTGAGGCAAACAGGGTAAAGTGACTTGCCCAGGGTCACATTGCTGGTAAGTATCTGAGGCCAGATTTGAACTCAGGAAGAAGATTCTTCCTGGCTCCAGGCCTGGAGCTCTATCCATTTTGCCACCTAACTGCCCTAATGGAGGAGATAATACATATTAGTCAGACCATATAAAATAAATTCGGAGTAGATAGAAGGTAACTGTAGAAGAGATTGCATTAGCAGCTGGTGGGGCCATAGAAGGCTTCCTGGAAGCGATTATACTTGAGTTGGGTCTCAAAGGAAGTCAGGGATGCTAAGATTCTGCAGCTGGGAGAGCATTCTAGGCCTGGGGAGCAGCCAGTGAAAAGGAATGGGAATAGGAGATGCAATGTTGTGTTTAATGAACAGTAGGCCAATGTGGCTGAATTGTAAAGTTTGTGGAGGAGAGAATAATGTAAGAAGGTTGGTAAGATAGGAAAGGTCCAGGCTGAAAAGAGCTTTAAACGCCATCCAGGAGGCAATAGGGAGCCACTGGAGTTTACTGAGTAAGGGAGTAACTTGGCCAGACCTA